AGAACCAGGAGGTGAAGATTTGGGACAACGACCAAAAGAAAAAATAAGGAAGATAAATTAACCTTAATTCGGCTTGACACTTAAAAGGGCATCTTGCAGCATACTCAATATTATAAATACGGCAAGAAAACCAACAAAAGACTCCTGAATAATACAAACAAGTACGAAGTCCAATTCAAACCGAATTAATAAGTATAAACTGAATAAATTAAGTTATTATTACCTGGCCAGAAACAAAAATTTAGTGCATCCAACACAAACAAATACTGGACAGACAGGGGGCCATTGTCAAAATAGTGAATCCCTTCAAAATCCCACTCCACCTTTGGAATCGAATCTTTCAACGTTTCCGCCACTTTCTCAATACCTAACATACAGCCCCAATTACGTCCATTTTTCTAGTAATCAAAATCACACAAACAAATTTACAATAGAACAAACTTAACAAAAACACAAGAATATGAACTACATATTCAAATCCACAAGCACATTGTGACTTCAAAAATCACGAAAAATCACAAAAACGCGACTTAACGTGAAAGAAACCTGAGGAATCAACGGTGACATGAGAGGAATGAAAGGCGACCCAAGCAGTAGTAGCCCTAACCTCTTCCATTGGGAATCTGATCTTCTAAGGAAAATGTAATTAAAATGAAGAGGTGATGTGTATATGTGTGCACAGGATTCAACCCTAGGATTTGGTAATTGGTATGGTTACCGGCTTTATGGTTCGAAGTTTCCCGCTTTTGTATGTTTCTACTTTCTCGCTAGTTTAATGTAATTTCCATTAATTTTTATTAATTGTTGTTTTCAAAAGGTTGACCAGTCATATAGCCACGCCTCGCACGTGGACTGCTAAAAATGTGGGCCTTATCAGAAGTTGTTGGACCCTGCGACGAAGAAAACACTTACACTACACGTGCAAAATGGATTGACAAAGGTGGCTTACATTACGATGTAGCAGCACTACCAAATTCTGGAAAATTCGAAATGAAAAGTAACGTTTCTCTCACTTCCACTACCAAATTTTCCCAAAATCAAACCCTACTTCCTCCTCTCCCCATTTCCTCCCAAATTTTTTAAGGGGAATTTATAAAAATGTCACTTTTTTTTGAAAATGCATAAAAAATTTTGATGTGCATACAATTTATACAAAAATGTCACTTTTTTGTTATGAAATATCTAAATTACCCTTAATTTGACTTTTTTTGAAACATTTAATACTCTTTCAAGATTGTTTTTCAAAACAATTAATGTTGTGATTTAATTGTTTAATTTGTATATTATAATAATTGAATATATGAATATTATATTGTAAAATACGAA